ATAACAAGGAAATCATATTTGAATTACCAGTATGTTTTAGTGTCTGTATTGACTGGTCAGTATTCGCCGGTAATATAGTTACGGTTTAAATGGTTACGTGATGAGCTAGAGGTCACGGTAGACTCGGAAAAAATCCCCGGAGAGAAGTACGTATCGGTATCACTTCGTTTGCTAGTTCCCAGGCTTCTTGAAAACGAAGTCAGTTTGAGGGATGGCATCTAGTCCTAACCTTCTCAGGCATCCTAAGGCCTGGCTTAGGACCCCCCGCGAGGGTTTGCTGCGACGAATTTGAAATTCAAGATGGCGGCCGGTTTGTTGACGCGTGTTGAACGTTCTTTCGTRCRTAAACTGTTGATAGAAAGCTTGTTTTGATATCAATGAGGTTGAATGTCTTTTGAATTCATGTAAATACTCAAGAATGTCAAGGTTGGAAGCAGATGTAACTCTACAAGTTCGTGAAATCTCTGATTTTTTTGTGTTCGAAGCAATACTTCAGGTGAGTACTCGTATGATAAAGCGATAATTTGTTAACATTTTTGGTACGTAAAGAGGGTTTCTTGTCCAAACAAATTCTTTTTGAGACATAAGTTTTTAAGTTAAATTAAGGCAAAAATAGTTTTTTTAATTACTTAATAAGTTTACCCACGGTTAATATTTTACAATTCTAATAAGATATAACTTAAGTCTTAATTATTTACAATTGTTGAGACTTTACGATATTTACAAATAAAAAACTAAAGTTTCATATTATAAAATTATGCTATATACAATATGTCTTTTATATTACACTATATCTGTTGGTTTCCCAATTGAGAAACAATATAAAAATATTACAATGAGATTTAATAACTTCATTAACATACATGAGTGTCCAATTCAATTCTTAATGCAATCTTTGTACTTTTTGTGAGAATCCTTTTGTGATGATACCTATTGTCAGATTTAAGGATTTGTTATTTTTTGATCAAATTTGTATAAATAAAATTCACTCTTATGATTCTTGATAGTTATCATGATTAATAAATCTCATGAAAACTGTGAAATTCAATTTAAACAGTCAGTAATAACTTTATTGTCATGACACACTAGAATAATTGAAATTAACCAAAAAAACAGTAGATTCAATAGGCTCTGTTTATACAATACAATTTCCAATTTCTCAGTCAAGTGATCTAATTGTATCAGTTACAGCGAAATCGTTGCATCGTGACATCTTCATTTCGAAGTTTGTTTTGATTGTGTTCTTTCCTTCGATCTAATGGGCGGAGTTTTTCGTAAACTCGCTCAGTCAATGGCTAATTTGCAGCAAGCTCTGCCCCAAAGTCTCAGAAAAACCTAAATCCTAACGATTTCTTTTGAACATTGAAGTCGCGATGCAACGGTTTCTGCTGTAAGCAGACTGCCACTCATGTACTGTTATTTTCCAAGACTTTAAAAGCTGCTGGACAGTTTTCAGTTTTTGTTTGTTTTTCACTAGGTTTTCTCCTGTTAAATCTTTGAGATGCCTGTA